CAGGGACGGAGCGGGGAGACCCTGGGGTCCAGCACGGAGCCGGGGGCCTGGCCCAGCGCGGGGCCGGGGGACACGGGGGACGCGGCCAGAACGGCCCCGGCCGCAGCTCACCGGCACCCTGGGCGCGGGCAGCACTCACGGACAAGGAGGAGGGGAGAACGTCACCTCCGAAGACATTTCCCACTTTCTGAGGCACCCTATATAGTCCATCATGATTTAATCCAATTGTTCCCAGGAGTGGAAGGGCACAGAAAAATATTAAAAATGGCATGCATCATTCTTCAGGAAAGCCTTAAATACTAGAGCACAACTGCTATGCCAAAGTCCTCTTAATTTTCTGTGACAGTTTTTAAAAAGCAGGTATCTAACCAATTTAAGGAACAAGTGTCCTTTGGACTAAACCTTAATTCTCAGTAAGAGGAAAGCAGATTAAAACCAGAAGGTATATACACACTAGCTGTATATTCACACACATTATGTAAAAGCAGCTTAAAATGCCCTTCTCACTTTGCAAGTCTATGAAATGTAGGTTTTCTTTACGCAATCCATTTCCTACAAGGCCCTTGCTAGAAGAGGAATATGCTGGCTTTTCGTTGAAGAAAAGATTTTGCATCAATTTTTTTTTTTTTTTTGGCTTTTTTTTCTTTTGACACACACTGTCCTGACAGTTACTGTTTCACAGGAGACTGGCCAGGCTGGTGGTGGGTCCGTTCTGTGCCTGGAACTGTACGGGAGGAGGTCCGTCCGTCCACTGCAAGACAACAAACAGCGTGAGCAGCCCCAGCGCCGCCCGGATCCGCGCTCTCCGCGTGCCCGGCGTTCCCAACCCGCCCGGAGCCGCGGCGAAGCGCCGCCCTGCACAACCCGCACGGGCCGCAGCTCAAAGCCTTGGTGCTCTCACACGTTTCTCCCCGGCCCTGTCTGTACAGCTGCCTTATCACACACCGGGCAAGGGAGCCCGCCCCAGGGACAACGGCTACACAGCCACAAAATGGGATCTTCCCTGGGAGCCCAGAGACGTGAATTCAGGGATTCAGGGACTGGAAATTCAGAGATTTATACATAAACAGAGGAGAAATGCATTTTTAGCAGCATTCCCCAGAACACAGCAGACTGGATGACTTAACAATGAAAATTAAACCCGAGTACCTAGAAAGCTTCCTACTTTCAAAAGCCGTAAATGAACTGGCTACTTGCTACAAAAGCCATTAAAAATAAACTTTGGAGTATCGAGAAAAGAAAACATATTTAAGAAACAAAGGCCTTACTCACCAAATAACCTTTATAAAAGTTAACTAATTAACTGAGTCACACTTCCTCTTCCTGTTATCAGTCCAATTTAAATACTAGGAAGTAGACCGAGTTTTGGCAACTCATTGAGGAGTGCAGCAGATTCAAGTAATAGTGAGGGAAAGCAAAGGCCGCTCTTTTTCCGCGGAAACGCCGCGGAGCTGCGGGGTGAATCCCGCTTACCGTGATGAGATTGTGCTCTGGAAGACTGCACGCTTCGATGTGGTCTTGGAGGAGCTGCTGGGAGAAGTTCTGGTGCATCTGTGCGGCCTCGTGCGCGTCCATCGCGTTTCCACACGCCTTGTTCAGATCTGCGGGGCGACAACAGCGGCTGCTCACAGCGAAACAAGATCGGCTTTAAACTAGTTTATCTGGAGAGACGGTTCCGCTGGGTTTGGTGACTGCCTAAGCACTTAAACAGCCAACACACCGAAGCCACCTCGCTTTGGCAGAGTCAAAACCCCCTAAAAACGAGGGGCACGGGGAGAACCTAAAGCCTTCCCTTTTCCACCAGCATGGGCAGTGCCCGCGGCAGGATTAGTTCCAGCTTCCAACGCAGCAGTGCGAGAGGCGGCAGCCGGCTCCGCTCCGCGCAGAGCCCTGCGTTTCTTGGGTATTTCTGGTTTGCAGCCCCATCTAGCGGGAACAGGAGCAGCTCGTGGGCTCTGCGTTCCCAGCGGCGCGTCCTCGCTCCGCAGGGCTCCAGCACCCGCAGCTCTGCGCAGCCGAACGCTGCTCCTCGGGCCTCCTTTCCAGGGATTTACTCCCTATTAGACGGAGCAGCGAGGGGACTGGTAACTAATTCAGCGTTACAGTTTCAGGCAAACACTCTAAGCAGCCACGCGAGCAGGGCTGAGCCCCGGCGCTGCCGTCCCCTGCCAGGCTGCCGTGTCCTCGCGGGAGGCTCCGGGAAGCAGCCGCTCATCCCGCAGAGCCATCGCGGGCGCTTCCCTTTTGCACCATCCCAGGTTTGCTCTCCCGAAGTGGAAACCCTTCCTTCCTTTCCATTCCTTGGTGCCCAGGCACCGGCTCTCCCGTTAGCGCAGATGAAGCTTCTCTTCCCCAGGAGCCGGCAGTCGCTCCCGTGCCGAAAGCTCCTGCGTTCGGAGCGGAACCGGCGCCTCCGGCTCCCTGGGGACCGCCCGGAGACACGAGCGGCCCCACGGCAGACGGGTCCCCTCTCCAACGGGTTCGTCGTTGTCCAGCAGCGCTCTGTGCACGAGCTGCCGTGTGGAGCTGAACGGGAGAAGCGTTTCCAGAGCGGCCTGGACGCGGCCCTGGTGCAAAGGCAGCAGCGAAGCAGGAGAGCGGGAGCCCGGCCCACAGCAAACACAATTTAATATAAACTGAAGCTGCGGGGTAAGTTCTTGGAAAAAGGGTAGAGTTACAGCTTTATTTTCTAGTGAAAGCAAATCAATTGCAGCATTAATGCTGACTGCCTGCCAAGGAGCTAGTCAATATTTGAACAAAGCATCCAGGGGCCTATGTAAGTCAGATTAAACAATATTTATGTATGATGTGATAGAATAGTTGTCTTGATATTTATTAAAGCTCACACGCAGAAGCAAAGCCTAAGTGGAACTTAATCAAACGCTTGACTGCGGCTGCTGCTGTCTAAAGCAAGCGCAGCAGAGCGGGGCTGCGGCTGCGCGGAGCCTCCTCCTGCGGGGACCCACGGAGCCCGTGTTCCCAACCGCCCCCGGCCACGGCACGAGGAGCCAGGGGACCCCGGTGCTGCCCCGGGACCCCCGGGATGCGGGAGCGCCGCGCGGAGCTGCCCACGGGCCTGCAGCAGCCCAGGGCTGCGAGAGGAGCAGCCAAAGGATGCGGGGCAGTAAATGCAAGGAACCACCTGCACATCCATCGGTACTTTATAAATCCAGGGATTCTTTTGTTTTGTCGTCTTGGTGAGGACTAGCATTGACAAATACCCCCACACCCAGTTCCCAGCTATTACTAGCAGCCTCTTTGCTGCTTGCTCTGAATACCACCTTTTCCTAACTTACCTCTCAACAGAGCTGAAGACCAGAGCTGCACAGACATATCTGGTATCTTGCTTGCAAGCTGCATGGCTGGTACTACCATATTATTACTTTCCTGGTGAAGAGCAGACATCAAGATAAGACGGATAATCTTTTTTCCCTCGTGAATATATATTATATATAGGAAACATGATATTTGTGACCTTACGTTTGTCTATTTAAATCACAATTGCTGACCTGTTCCACTAGTAAGTGGAAGTGTTTAGAAGGACGATAACTCAAGCACATAACCTGCAGCTGTCCTAGCAACTAGGGTGTCTATGCTGTGCAAGATCATAGAAATACTTCATGCATACTGACATATGGTGAAAATTAGAAGAGCTTGTATACATAACTCCTTCCAAAGCAATCCAGTTGAATGATGTGATTTCTCCTTTATTCTGCTCCTTTTTTCTTTTTTTCCAAGTGATTTCAGGCATTATAGAAATACACACTTCTAGAATGGACTTCAAATACTACCACTTTGTTAGTTTTACTAAATCTGGAAACTGTTACAAGAGAACTATGTAAACCAATGAGTTACCAGCTTTCAGCTGGATATCAATAAACATTCTTAAATAAAATAAACAAAACCTCCTCATTTTCTTTGGCAAATGACAAATCAAACATTTATAGTAGTAATACCAGAGACAGTAAAGGCTTACCCTGTGATTCCCTAATACATAGAATATATGACCCAGGAGTACAAGAGAACATGCTGTTAATCGATTCAAGTCTTCTGCATTTGACATTTTCAGTGTCTCTCGCAAAAATCGTCTACCAAAACAGAACAAAAATAAAGCGTCCTTTAAAAGAAATCTACTCTCCTTCCAGTACGTAAGAAGCATCATTTAGAGCAGAAACAATCCAGTCAGCAAATACTAGGACTCAGGGATAAATGTGTCCTGTAGGTGACCTTATATAAAACACTTAATTCTCCCACCTCAGCTTTCTTGTAACGAAAGGGACTGACACAGATCCCTGCTCTGAGGAGGGATCCTCCCCCCTTTCAGATGTGCGACAGGAGAACACTGCACGGGTGTTATTATCAGTGCTCAAAACTGTGTAGAGATTTAAAGCAAACAGTTGCATGGTATTTGCCCTAAACAAAGCAGCAGACTGACTAAATCAACATAGAGAAGATCTGAGAGGTCTGAGAACAAGGCCTCGGGGTTTCCTTTGGGGTTTTTAAAAGCTTGATTTATTTTCTCCCTTTTTTCTCCCACCTTCCACATGCACTGGTTTATACTCACTTTGCCTCATTGTATCTTCCTTGAAAGAAGGAGAACAGACCTCGGATGTAGAAAGCTGCTGCTCGAAGACAGTGAGAGCTACGGACGGACAAAGCACCGTGTTTAAATCTCTGCACTGCACAGTGACAGAACGGTTACAGACAGACAGATTGCCAGGAATTGGCCTAACAATCAAATCCCCAAAACAAAACATTTTATTTAATGCGTGGTCAGAACTTCTGCCTTGAAAAGAAGTCACTTGTTTTGTTTTCTGTCCTTTTAAAAAAGCATGCTACAAACTCAGCATTACCATCACCAACGCAACACTGGCACGTAGGAAGTTTCTGGAACTCTCACCTCACGGGAAAATTATGGTCTGGATTTATCCTTTCCAGTAAGCTGTAAAGCTATGAAGTGGGGAGAAAACAACATAAATCAGCCTCTCTCACATATATAACCTTAGTACTGATCACAAGCGTCTTTACAGGAAACACACATAAAACCAAAATAGTGCAGCTCACTGCAAGCACCAAGTTTACTTGCACTGGTTAGATCATAGCGCAAACATTCCAACATTATCAATTATTATTTCCATTTTAGCCTAAAAGATCAAGTCTTACACAAAACATGCTTTCTCAGACTTGAAAGAGTTATTACAGATTGTTAATATTTCTGCTGAATGGGCAACACTATTTCCAAAATGCAGCCTGCTTCTTTGCAAGGGAGTTTTGACTCTCACCTCCTGGTGCCGGTTGCCTTCCCTGATGTACACGCTGGCCAGGTTTGTCACAATAAATGCCCACAGCTCTTGGTGCGTAGTGAGCTACAACACACAAAACCAGCAGCACAGGGTAAGTATCTTTGCATCTAACCCTTGGTTCACCCCATTTTTTCCTCAAGTACATAACAAATTAAAACATAATATCGCAAAGTTTAGGAATCAAATCTTACCCTTAATGCTGTAGTAAACTGTGCTTCTGCATTGTCCATGCAATTAACAGAAATGCAGTAGAGCCCCTGCAGAAGACAAGTAAATTCCAAAGTTTAGTATTTTAGTACAATTATAAGTGTAAGGAAGAAAGGCATAAACACAGATATCTTACAACATTAGCGGGGAGAAAAGAAAAAAAAGTTAACTAATGAGTTTTGGGTTATTAAAGAGATTTAAGTGTTCATCAGTTAATGCTGGGTGCTGGTCCCCACGGGATGAGCAGTCCCTGCTGGGGACTCTTCATCACGAGTCATTGGCGCCTGCTCAGCCCGACCCGCGCGCAGAGAGGCCGAGCGCAGCAGGAACCACCTCCACTCACCAAGAGCGTGTGCAGCTGGGCAGCGTGGTTGGAGAACAGCCGGGGAGACTGCTGGCAGAGCTGACACACCTGTGAAATCTGACGGGAAGAAAAGGCGGGATTTCCTTTAAAACACTTTTTCCTTCATTTTGTTTAATGCCCTATATCCCTCCACCTGCATCATACGAGTCATTCACCACATTTCAGTGGTTGGTCACAGCTCTCAGCTGAGCCCAGAGGCTATTCCCGAGGCGCAAACGCTGCCCCCACGCTCAGCGACCTGCTCCACCTGCAAAAACAGTCCCACATCTCCTCCAAAACACCCCAAAGCCAAGCTGCCAGGAAACAGGAACGCTGGAATCGAGGCCTTCCAAAGAATTTGGGGTATTTGTTCATGAAAAGTGCTATAATCAATGGCAGGCTCATTTTTCCATCGAGAACATTGGTGAGAAGGCTTAAAACCATCTGACAATTCTAAAGGACGTGATAAACAAAGGGCAAAGAGGAACTACAGGGGGCAGACAGAGCATCAGAAAACACCGTCCCCTTCTCCCCTGCCCAAAATGAAACAAGGCTGCACAGAGCTGGAAGGCTTTGGGAGCGAGGAGATAAAAGAACTGATTCCTCATACGGGAAGTTTCCATATTGTAAAAGTTTCCCACATGTTTATGAAGGGAGATAGTCAAAACACTATTACCTCTTGCAGCGCTGTGGCTTTGTGGCCTGTGACAAGCCGGCACATGATAATATGTTCCAACAAGATGACTTGGAAAGACGACAAGATAGGACTGCAGTCCAGCACTGAGGAGGGGAAACGGAGGTCATTTGAGAAGTTAAGACGACGGTAACGTCCTACCCCAACAGCTTTCACTGTACCCACGTTTCTCCTTTAACTGCAGGTGGCTCAGCACAAGAATCCCTGTGTAGAAATCCAGGGATGCCTCTTGCTGAATCACCCGGTGCCTAAAGAGGCAGCAAACGGCCCCGCTCCTGCCCCACTGCCAGGGGAAGGACAGTTTGGGCTTCCAGAGAACCGATTCCGAACCAAGAACACGAACCCGAGCGGCCGCGAGGGAAGAGCTCTTCGGAAACACACTTGTTTTAGGGAAGCAAAAACGTGGATAACCAAACACATGGAAAAATCTGACACACATGAGAAAATGCATGCATTTGCTGCCTAACTTACCAAGTTACAAAAATAAGACCCCAAAAACTCCATTTCTGGATTCAAATTAAAACAATAATCGAGCTTTAAAGCAGAGCCCAACTCCTACCCACAGCACAGACAGGCTACTAACAAAGTATTTGTTTGCTTTTTTTCCTTTAAATCAGCACCAGGCAATGGAATCTTACAGCATCAGCCAAACTGTAACCCTTATCCTTACTTTTGAGCTTCTCCAGCTGCATGAGTGCTTTGTCCGTGTACTTCTGAGCCTTCTCCAGGTACCCTGCTTGCATGGAATGCATCACTGTCACCTGCCGGAGGACAAGGAAAGATCACAAAACCCCTTTGCAAAAGGCAAGGTTTGGGGGTCCACACAACTCCTCAATTAGCCACTTTTTTAAAAGCTGAATTTTAAAATCAGTTAAGAGTATAACCATATTCAAGACGTAGTGCAACTAGTTTAATGAGGACAGAATTGTTCTTCTGTCGGTCAAAGCAGCGTGGCTCTGCTTCACAAGAACTACTATTCAGTCAAAGCAAGGCAACATGGCTCTGCTTCACAAGAACTACTATTCCTTCTACTTCAAACACCGACTCCACTGAAAGCAACAGTCTCACAGACGCCTCGGTAGCATTAAATCATCTAAGCATACCATAAGGCAGCATATGGTCTGCAGAAAATCCATCCCTGCCGGCTGTAAGCCGTTTCCAACCAATTCCTCCCCGATTAGCAGCACCACTAAGTAAAACAGAAGTGCTCACCAGGTACACGAGGACGCACATGTGCTCCTTGGGCAGCCAGTGGAAGAGGTCTGCAGGGTTGCTGGGCAGAATCTCGTCGTCGTGCAGCGTGGAGATGGTCTGGATGCACTGCTGCAGCTGCTTGAGGCACGGCTTCACGCTCTTCACCTGGGAAAGGGATCACGGATTCACAGGCACAGCCGCCGCAGCCCGGGTGGCAAATGGCTCAACATTCCCCTCGCTCCCAAAACGTGCCCGGCACCACACAATTCCCATATTCAGCAATGTGGCTAATCCACAAATCACTACACTAGCGTCACAGAATAGCGACCACTAAGTTTGTTACAGGATTAACAATACCTGACTCTTAGTATTTGGCAAACATGGCCAACTAACACTCAAAATGGTTTTCAAAACCATACGGAGCCTGTTGTGTCCTCAGGAGCTGCTGGAGGCAGACAGGCTGCTGCAATTATACACCATCCAGCTAAGCATTTGCTTGGGGAAGGAGAAATGACCGCCCCATTGCAGCGTGTTTGCGCTTCTTGCTCCCCATTTTGTGATTAAAATCACAGAGAAATTAAGTTCACGACTAAAGGGCAAGACCTGGCAAACAAAAATTCCCCCAAACCCCGTTGGTGCAATAGCAGCTGCTCCCAAGGCAGCTCTCACAAGAGGGGACGCAGGAGGCACAACCCGCACGCACCTGCCCGGCGTCCAGGTAATGCGTCACCTGCAGCACCAGGAAGAACACGCGCAGAGACTCCTTCTGGATGGGGTTTCCTTGCCAGTTCTCAACTATCTGCCCACAGAGGGTAAGGAGAGGGTGCACTTCCTGAAGCTTCCGTTCCATCAGGAGAAGCTATAATTTAAAATAAAAATTCAATATATTTTGTGCCAAAGAAACAATTTTAACGCTCAGAGATGCACACAGAGCCCCAGGCAAGTTATTCTATTACTTAAATTAAAATAGACTTAAGGGCACCCATTAGAAAGAGCATCGGGTTTTTTGCATGACTTATTTTTCATCATTAGGTAAAACAGTTCCAATGACAATTTGCAGTTATCCTCTTTCCTTCAAGGAACCACAGATTTGTCATAATTAATAAAAGAAATAAACCTCTGTTCACAAGAATTTCTCACAGCAAAGGAATCCTGCTGTCTTATAGCTAATCTCACATGCATTTTCATGAAAATACATGCCTAAATGAACAAAGCAGAGCATATAAAGCACAGACAAGCATGCAAAGTACCTTAAACAAATAACCAGCCCAATTGTAGGTTATATTCTATTGGCCTATAACCTGTGTTATACCAGTTAAGCAAGGAAATATTTTATTAGAAAAGTATATCCAACTTACCATCCCTTTGCTTAGCAGAAATAGTGCTCTGAAATAAAACAGAACTGTGTCAAACACACAAAGTTACCTCAACCAGGACTGTGCACAAAGCCCTGAGGAAAAACTTGTGCCATTCTCCATTTCAAGGGTATTAATCAAAACTGATTAAGGGACCTGCTGCAGAAAGCAAACTTAAAAGCTAGATGGTTCAGCCCAGTCATTGTGCAGGAATTAAACCCCAAGCCTCTGGTTTGTACCGAAGATTTGGACAACCCCAGTTAAAGTTTCTAAGGTCAAAGCCAGGCTGTGGGGAAAAAAAAGGGTGCAGGGAACTTACCTGGTGTATTCTGACCCCACCACCCGAGCATATTCTGCTCCGACTCCTAGGAGGTCACACGCAGATACTAAGTCTTTTTCAAGTGTATGTAGTTGCTGAAAAGAAAAAACAAGCCATAATACATTAGCATTTTTGTAGCAAACTTGCTTAGCAAGTTTTTTTAAATTTAATTACCCCTGTGCTTTGTATGAGATACAAGTATCCACCTGGATCACATAAAAATCTATCATGTGAACTTCAAGCCAACTGTGAAATGGGTGTTACATTTGCAAAGAAGATCCCTCCGTGCAGACTCACATCACTGAGTTGTAACTCAGCGCATGTGCAAATCAGACCTTAAACAGCTCAAAATTGTGGATGTTGACAGGCCAGAAGCTCCAGCAGGAGCCCCAGAGAAGCCTGAGGGTCCCACAAGAGGAGGCAGCAACGTCCATAGCACCTCCCAGCCCTCCCAGCTCCCCAAGTTTGGAATTTTTTCCAAACTCAGGTAGGAAGCCCAACAACTGCAGACCATACAGTGAAGCTGAGACACACACAGGCCCTTCTGCTCAAGCAAAAGCCAAAAAGGAAAAAATAAAAGAAATCAGCAAAGAATGTCAAGCTTTGAGGAAGGGTCTATTTAGAGGCACCAAGGAAAAAAAAAAAACGCTTAAGCTTCCTGTGAGCACTCAGGCATTAACCCAGTGCAGAGTAAACGTCTGTCCTTTCGTTGACAGGATTTCAGCGCTCCCAAACTATACAAAGCAGCTCAGCAATTCCTTTGCAGGGAACTCAGCCTGGTTAAGCTCTTCAGAAAGGGAAAGGAAGAACCGTGTGGGTGACCATTCAGACAACCTTCAAAGATAAAACTGGCTGCTAACTCTCTCTCCTATGGAAAGCACCTGTACAGAGCAATTAACTGCTCAACTCGTGTCAAACAGCTTATGGTGCCTGAGGAACCTTCCCTGTTTTCTACAAAAGCACCAGAAAAATGGCATAACCTAAAACACAGGTTTGTCAGCAGTAATCTGCTCCTCATACTGCTCAGCCCGTTTTCTGGATAGGTCTCCATCCTAACAATCTGGATCCCTAGGAAAAGCAGCACTTTCAGAACAGCCTAGGAATGCATCACTATTTCACAGCACGGATTCTTCTTCCTTTGTTTCTCCATTAACACCAGTGATTACAAAAGATAGCCAAGCTCCTTTTCCTCTACAAGTCCAGACGCAATGACCTTAGGAACTGCACACACATCCTCCCTGCAGCGTTACTATGAAACGACTGTCACGCAAGTCACTTACTGCAAGTTGAAAGAGGAGCCGACAGTGCCAATACGGGGTCTGCTGCGAGATCTGGATGGCTTTGCGGAGCAGAGGCTTCGCTGTATCCACCGAATTCTGAAACAGAAACACACACCCTGCTCAGCACAAAAAACAGGCCACCAGCAACCTGCAGCACTAAGAACAGCAACATCTAAACAAGGTGTTTTCTGTGCAGGTGCCCATTTAAAGCAGGATAAGCAAAAAGCCTTATCTGGCATGCAGAACACCTGCAACTGACTCAAAGTTTGCTTAAAAGTACAGGCTGATCTGTTCCTTTGTTCACAACTCACAACAGGATAAAAAAAGAGGCATATTAAAAAAGGCAAACATTTGTTTTATAAAAAGCAAAGACCAACTCAAGCTTTTCTAGAGAAAAGGAACAGAAATAACCAAGGAACACAACAAAAGCCTTAGAGAAACTTTCCATTTCCCTGCCTTCCCTAAATTAGCCTGTCAACGGCTAAGGAACACTCTGGCCAAGGAAGACGAACGCTGCAAGGGCAGCGGGTGGAACTGCAAGAAGGGAGGAACTCAGAGCCCTTCGGACCTACATTGTAGCGTTCTGGGGTTACGTTGCACCTGACCCCGAGCAATTTGCTGCATCCTACTGTAGATGGCTACATATTGCTCTAAGATCAAAGCAGGGAGCGCAGAGTTGCCCCTGAGCCCGGATCGGGGTGGCTGTTGGCCGCACTCACCTCCTGGCAATAGAGCTCGGACAGGAGACTCGCCGCCTCGAACTTAACATCCTCGAACTGCGGGATCTAGCGCCAGCGTTAAGGAAACATTGAGCACCATCTGCGTCGCAGCAACGTCCCAACATCCCCCAATTCCTTAAAGAGGAGCAAGCGCTCGGAAAGCAGCCCAGGCCCTCGGGAGCGGGCGAGGGATCCCCGCGCCCCGGGCTGCAGAGACGTTGGCACCGCACGAGAGACGCGTCCGGGCAGCGCCGCGCTCCTCTTCCAGGGAACGCCCCTCCCCCAGCGGCCGGGAAAGGATACCTGCTGCGAAATCAGCCACTGCAAGAGAAGGCGGCGCGTCAGTGCGGGAGCCGCGCGCAGCCCCGCCGCCCGCCCCCCGCTGCTCACCGCCTTCTCCAGGTGGCCGCGCGCCTGGTCGCCGTTGCGGGTGTGGTGGTAGAGCACGGAGCCGAGCTGCAGGTGCGTGCGGGCCTCCATGCGCGCGGGCGGCTTGCGCGGCAGCACGGCCTGCAGGCAGTGCCCGCACAGCCGCACCTTGGGCGGGCTCGACGTGCGGAAGTGCTCGGCCAGGCCCAGCAGCGCCAGG